CTCTGTGTTCTGGGGGAATAACCAGTGAATTTGAGCTTCTTTTCTCCCTACTCTTTTTGCTTTTAGTGGGACAGAGTAAGTCACATGGATGTGCAGGCATGATGAGTTGCAATCTGCACTGTAGACCTCCTTACATTTTCTTTTTCCCTAAACCGATGCTTCTTCAAAACTTCCCTCTCTCAGTCAAGGGTGCTCCCGTCCTCCCAGTCACTTAAGTTCAGCAACCTTAATGTTATACTTGACTACTTACTGTCACTCATCCCATATATCACCAGTAGTCAAATCTTTTCTTTTTTTTTTTTTTTCACCTCTAGAACATCTCTCATATCTTTATGAGAGGGACTTACAGCCCCTGTCCTCAGGGAGCTTACATTGTCCAAGAATTTTGTCTTTCTTAGCAATTCTTTTCCAAGAGTAGAAGACTTGGAGCCAGTCTCTGCCTAGTTCTCTCCTTACCCCTACCTTCTCTTTATTTACATATCTCTCACCCTAGTTTAGGCCCTTGTCACTCTCTCCTGGGGAGAGTGGCCTTTTGAAGACCCTACTACACATGTAATATAGCAGGACCAGAGGCAAATTGATATGTCCTTATAATAAGAACAGTATTAAGAATATGAACATTCAGCATTTATATAGCTGTTTAAGGTTTGCAAAGGGCTTTAAAAATTTTATCTCATTTGATCCTTACGACAAACTTGGGAGGTAGGTATGCTATTGTTGTACCCATATTACGGATAAGGAACCTGAGGTAGAGGGAGGTCAAGTGATTTGTTCAGAGTCACACAGCTAGTAAGTATCTGAGACAAAATTTGAACTCAGGACTTCTTGACTCCAGGTCCAATACTCTATTGGTCAGAGAATAGGGCAACAATGAACTTCAGGAGGAAAGATAAAAAAACTGAGAACCAAACCAATAAGGAGCAGAAGCAAAAACAAAGCAAGTTAAGAAAAGGGGGCTGGTACAGTGGTAAAGAGTTTATCATAATTTGTTGCATTTCCTAATTTGGAAACAATCTGTGACCTTTTAATCTAAGAAGTAAGGAGTAAGTGTTGGCTTTCCTGATGGAGTGGAAAGAGTATTAGATGAATAAGAGAATTTGGGTTCAAATCTAAGGTCTACTACTTACTACTTGTGTGACACTGGGCAAATCACAAAAATGAAGAATATAGTCTTATTTTAAGCTCCTTTTAGCCTTAGTTATTTTATTCAGGACACAGGACTTGGCTTACCCATCAGACTCATAATCTGAATTCAAACAACCTGATGAACAGAAGCATAGAAAGAGGAATTTAGGGCACAAAAATATGGATATGATCTAATGAGAAACTAATTGTCTTCAGAGGTTTGAATTTCTGATAGTTCCCTCAGAGGAAACCAGTGTCAAAGAGATTAACTATAGAGTTAGTGATACAAGGTGTATTTGTTTTTTTTTAAATACTAAACAAAGGTCCTATAGTTATACAATTAGATATGTTTTACCAAAGTTTCTTTGTTTAAGATAGAAGCTGTACATTTGTATTGACCTTGTACATCTTCATCTTCCTATTCTTTTTTATTTTTTTTTAAATTTGTAATTGCCATAACTAATTCAGTCTTCTCTTTCATCTTTGCCTTTTCCCCCATGCTCAACTGTTATTTAAAAGTTAACCAAAACAATATAACTGTTGTTTTATTTCTCCTCCTTCTTCCCCACCCCCCCACCACCATTGAAATAGTGACTAGTTAATCCAAGTTGAAAATTATATATTGATTAAAAAGACTTACTTTGATAGTCCAGTTCTGGTCTAGGCTCTTTACTCTTGTTGGTTTTTCAGATCAAAAGGTGCTTTTAGGTTGACCTTTCCCTTCTGATTTTCTCAGGCACCTTGATTTTTAAATGTCCATCTTTTTGCCTTCTAAAAGAGTGCTTTACTTTATTGGGAAGCTAATTTAGGGTTGGGGTTCTATACCTCTTAATTTTTGGTATATTAGATTTCAGCTTCTTTCATTTCTTATTTTTGTAAAAAAAAAAAAACAACTTGTGAAATTCAGATTGGTGTTTTTTTTGATATGTGAAGTCTCTTGACTACTTGTAAGAACATCTTCTTGCCATTGTAATCTTGGAACTTGACAGTGATGTGTCAAGATGAGTTGAATTTTGGATTCATCCCTGTTGGCATCTCTGTCTATTTTAAATCTGTCTTGCTTCAGTATTTCTGGCAAATTTTCTTAAATTATCTCTTGAAATACAGCAAGTCAGATTATTTTCTTTTTTATAGTATTCAAAGTTTATGATAATTCATAAATTTTCTTTTCTTGATTTTCCATCCAGTTAAAAAAATTATCTATATTGATTTCAAATCTTTTTTTTTTCTTCCAGATTTGGAACTCAGTGTGGTATAGTAAAACTTGTTCTAGACTTGGGAGTCAGGAAAAACCTGGCTTTGAATCCCAACCCTGACACTTGCTAGTTGTATGACCTTGGGAGGATCATTTAGTCTTGTCATGATGGAAATTAAGGTAAACTGAGAAACAAGTTTCCAAGCATGATCAATTTATTAGTTAGACTAGTAATAACCAATAAATTGGGTCAATGGCCTCTTTCAGTTACCAAAGACCTTGAGTAAGGGCTGACAAGGTCTTTTGATAGAGCAAAATCTCGAGCAACCTACATATATATGTCTTCTTCTGATTGGCTATCGATGACATAGTCAGAATTGAGATTACATCATTTGGACCTCCCCTTCTGAAACCCCCTTAACCACAGCCAAAATGTTCTTGAAATCACAAGACAAAGGTTCCCAGGCAATGGGAGTAGTCTTCAGGCAATGGGAATTGTTACAGTAGTTTAAATTGATGAGGTTTGACTTTTTAGGTTAACCAAGTTTCTCTGGAAAGTGGGTGATGGGTGGGGTTACAAAAGTGAAGGTAGTTATATGACAAAAGCTTGACCTTTAGGCAAATTTCTCTGGGTTGTGAGTGATGGATGAAGGGGAAGGAACTGAGAAAGGGGATATTAAATCTAGCTTGAATGAGCCTTAAAAATAGAATTAAAATCAGTTTTCAATTTTACAAATCTATCAGAGCTTCACGATCAAATGGAGAGAATAATATTTGTAACATCTACCTCACAGTGTTATAATGAGGGAAGAACTTTGTAAACCTTAAAGTGCTAATAAATGCCAGTTTTTATTATTTTTAGACTATTTTATGGGTTTTTCTGTTTGTAGTGTTCCTTCTGCCATTCTATTCTGCTTAAAATCATTCTAGTTTTCATCATTTGCTTTGCTTATATTCCCCATGTTTATTTTTTAACCACTGAGTTTCATTGTCATTTTGTCCTGAAGTTATTTAGTTACACCCAGTTTCAGCATTTCTCCTTATGACTATTTTTTTTTGCTATTTTAATTTCTTTAATTTTTTAAGTGTTTATTATCCATTTTTGTTGTGTACTATGAAAAGTCTAGCTTTATTTCTGGTGTTACTCTTGGTATTATTTCTGTGTATTTTTATTCTGATATTTTTGGCTCTCCTTCTTTGAACCTATTTTCTTTGTTTTATGAATTGAAAAAATGACCATATGGAGAGATTTCCTATAGATATTGAAGTCCTTCAGATGCTAATGTTTGTGGATGATGTTTTATTGACTCCAGCAAGCCCCAAAGAGGTGTAGGACTTCTTTAGTTAAATTGATGAGTAAAAAAGATTAGACCAACAAGTTTTAGAGGAAAATAGAAGATGAAGAATGCGCATTGCATTTAGCATGAAATGCACATGGATACCGTCTATGGGCTATTCTGTTAGTACATTGGTCTTGGAGTGGCCCAATAATGCACAATGAATGGAACCAAGAATTGATTAAGAAAATGAAGGTGAGGTAGATTATACATGGGAAATCGTGTATTATTTTCATCAAATCCAAGATGTTCCCCAGCATTGGCAGTTTTAATACCGATATTCTTCTAAATGATGCTGTATAACTATGAATTATCTCTGATGGATCAAATTCACAGATAAACCATGGTGCAATAAAGAAGCATATGGTTGATATGAGAAGGCTATAATATATTACCAATGATAACTTGTGCACGAGAAGTGGTACAAAAGGTATCACTTGGAGAATCTGAGGTTAAAAAATGACGTTGTCTGGTCATTTAGCAAAAGTGAAGGTGAACAGCCCAATTACTACACTGGTGTCCATGGAATTTTAAGAGACCTACAGGAAGTTCTGTATTATATTGGGTGGATCCTCTGTGAAGGACTGCCGAAAGGACATGGATAAAAATAACTTAGAATGAGAAGGCTTGGATGAGTTGCAATCTGCACCATTGATTATAGTACCCACATTGATGAGACCACACACCCATTGAGTCTTGGAGTATTCTTTTAATTCATTTTTTTTGGTGTTACAACTCTTTGTGTTTCTTTTCTTTCTTTTCTTTTTAGTGATTCTTAAATTTTCTTTTGAGCCTTTCCAATAGTTTGCCCCTTTTTGGGTAGCATTTCTATTGCTACTTTTGAAAGGGTATTGAAGAGGTTGACTTCTTTGTGACCTTTCACTGCATCATTCCAATGAATCCAGGGTAGTATATTTGATCAAGAGGTCACACTGTAGATTCTATTCTTCAGAACTCAGGGTACTCATGAAATGTTGGTTCTCATGAAGAAAAAACTGGGCTTCCTAAACTATACAGGGTCAAAATTTCTGATACAATCCCATGGTAATAGAGTTATGTGCCTAATTAATGTCTGCTGACCATATGGGACTTACACTGAGTTAACACTTTTTAGGGAAGAATGTGTCAGAGTGATAGAAGGAAATGGGAATCAAGGGGCTAATAAAAATGACAATTAATAGAATGGTTTTAGATTTTATGAAGTACCCTTATGCACAAACATATAATCACTAGGCTTTACACATGTCACTTATTTTAAAATACTCTACATAGTTTCACAGAAAGTTACTTTTAAGAAATCAGCTACATTTTGTCACTTAAATTATTGCATTTGTGCATTTCAGGTTTGATACTTGGTGTACTAATAAGGATGCTGATCCCACCCCTCAATATTTCCTATTCTTCTTTCTGTTGCTCAATGATCTATATCATTTTTGGAACGTCTCATCATGTGTCTGTTGGTGAGTTCAGAGACAGGGGAAAAGGGACTTTATGATATTACTGACCCAGGCAGGTATGTATAGTTGAAGAAACCTGTTGGATACTATATTTCTCTCTTTAAAAATGGAATGACTAAGACCGGAATATGTACCCACAAATAAAAAGATCAAAAAGGTGTATACATATATATATATATGTTTATATTTATATATATATATATTGCCTGTATAGATTGAATGGCATATTTACTTCTGCTGTAATATTTTGCCTCCAGTTTCTTAATAAGCAACTTTAGAGGGAAGTTTTACACTTGCTCAGATGTTTCACCTGGGCCACATGGCTAAAGGAACTGTTTTTTGGTGGGAGAGGAGAGGAAGCAGATTCTGATTTGCTCCTCATGATACATATGGAAGTTAACAGCCATGTGAAGAGATATTTCCATTCATGAATTTAGTCTTAATGGTTTATCTATGTTGGCCACAAGTTCACAAAGCTAATATGATTTGTTTTGTGTTCAGATCTTTTCACCAACCCCTTTCATTCTCATTTTCCCAAAGAACAGGTATAGTGGCTGAGATATCTATCTATCTATCTGTCTGTCTGTCTCACACACACACACACACACACACACACACACACACACACACACACACCCCCCACTTTGGGTTTATTGTACCACCAGAATATGACTCCTGGGAAACAGCTATAGTATATATGAAAATAATATTTTTCTCTCACCTCTTCTACCTCTTACTCCCAATCTTGGAATTAAAACCTGCCAGCTAACCAAAAGAACTCTTTCAGGGTATAGGCACTCGTTATTTATTCTACCTGTTTTTAATGCTTCTCAGACTTCCTGTGTCTACAGAGAATGGGACAAAATCACTTTCTAGCCTAACCATTCTGTTTATCTCACAGGAAACTTCTTCCTTGTGAGTGCATTGATGGCGAATGTCCTTAATAAAATAATGTTCAATTCTGGTCACCTCCTGATGGGAACTTTTGTCAGGGGTGACTTTGAAGATCCAGCCTACTCCCTGGATTATGAGAAGGCCCTCAGTGTCATGCAAGCTGTAACCTTTCTGACTGGGATTATCCAGGTATTTGCATCCTGTGTTCCCTAGACCTCCTCAAGGAAAAACCAAGAAGTTAAGACTACCCTTTCCTGCAGTTACTGCTTTTATGCAGTGTGCAGCATTTTCTGAAGCTCCAGTGATTCTTTCTGAACAGACTTACATTTCTCGGCCCTCTGAGATATATGGAAGAGTTGTTGCTAATTCAGCAAACATCCTTTAAGTACCTACTGTATATAGAGAACTCAGGATTTGGGGGATGGGAGGAGGAGGATACAGAGTTGAGATAATATATGATCCCTGAACTCCTGAAGCACATATTTGAGGAGGGATATGGCACGCACAAAAATAATCACAGTATTTGTTAAGTGCCATGTGAAATCTTGGGGAAAAGGTCATTACTGAGTGGAATATCAGGGAAGGTTTCATGGAGGAGGTGGTATTTAAGTTGAGCCTTAAAGTTTAGATTGAGGGTAAGGAAGGGCGTTCCAAGCATAAGGAATTGAATGAACATAGGCACATATGCAGTGCGGGGTATATATGGAGGTCAGTGAGTATCGTAGTTTGGCTAGAATACAGAGTGTGTAAGAGGATACAGGATGAGATAAAACTGGAAATATAGATATTGTCATTTATGAAGGGATTTTAATACTGCATTAAGGAGTTTGAGCTTTATTTAGGAGGCTGTTGGAAGCCATTTCAAGTTTTTGAGCAACAAAATTATATGTCAGTTCTACACGATGAAAATTAGTCTGACAGGATCAATTAGTAAGGGATTGAAAGGATGGGGGCAAGATTGGTTGTAGGGCTGTTGTCTAAACAGTAACAAATAAGCATAGAGGAAGCATCCTCCTTGGAAACCACTCATCCTAAAATTTCATGTGACCTATATAGAAGTTGTTGCATCCTACACCCATGCTTTTTCAATCTTTATTTATAATCAAAGAGGGGAACATACAAACATTAAAAAAGAGCACATAGAGGCAGTCCTCTGAGAGTATATTCATTATTCAATCCCTGGGGAAGGCATTTTGCTTTACCTTGCACTTGAGAGGAATGATACTTAGCATGAATAGGAAGACCTGTTATATTTTTGGCTAGGTCTTATGAAGATAGTGGGGGTTTTTTTTCAGTTGTGACAAATCCCCAATCGAAAAACATTAACACCAATATTCATTTAAAAACTCAAAGCTTATTTGCTTTGTTGTCTATCGTTTCCTCATCAGAGGGTCCTTATCAACTCCTCTGGCTGCATTCCTAGGCCTTCCCTGTTGAGAAGCAGGTCTTTTTCTTCTATGAAGTTCTCTATCTAGGTTCTAAATGATATATTATTTTATAAACAGGTGCCAATTCATCCCTTAGGAACATCTTTAATTACTTAATTGGGAAACAATAGACTAGGCACACAGGGGGATGTGGTTGTGTTACAGTAGGGATCGTGGCAGAAACAGCTACTCAATTTGCAATACCTAGGCAAGGCACCAGGTGGTGCTCCAAGCCTCATGCTGCAAGTTTTAAGTAACTGCACATATGTGAGCAGATATTAGCAGTCCTCATACCTGAGCCATTTTAATCCTGCGCATTTGTGAATGGGACCTATTTTGTGTTGTGTCTCCCCAACAAGCTTACTCTTTTAGTGTCTACTCAGATTTTTGTCTAAGGATAAGTAATATCCATCATAGTTTACAGCTAGTTTGGCTCATGTTTGTTTCCCATTGTTCAGGATCCTGCTCTCTTTCTCATCCTCAGCATGACCCCCAATGACTACTCTCTCATATATGTATTAGAGTATATTTACTGAATAGAATTTGAAAGTGCAAGAACCAGGATTAGAATTTTGGAGCACGGAGGCCACTGCTAGGCAGGGTTTTAAATCTCAACTTCCACCACTAAACTCTTCTGAATTTTACCTCTCATTGTCACCACAGAGATAAGTGCTTCCAAAAACCTTTTGCCAAATGTTACGTGGTTTCATAGTCCACAGATAGGAGCAAAGGTAAAGAAACAATCATCTTTCTGAGTTCCACCTTTTCCTATCCTCTCTTGTACATTAATCTCTAGGTAGATAGGTGGGAGAATAGCCTTCTCACCCTATCATCAGCTCAGTGCTGTGTAATCAAAGACCATCTCCCCTTCCACTCTGGACTCTTTTATATTCAGCATCTTCTGACTTCTTTGGCATCTTGATTCATGGCAAATGTCTTTTTAAAATATCCCCCTCTCCAGGTAACATTAGAACCTCAGGCAATTGCATTTTTGTTAAATGTCCAGAGATGCAAGAAATTATGGAGGGAAAACTCAAGTTGCTCCTGCCACAGGTTACATAAACATTTATTGAGCACTGTTGTTTGCAGAGCACTATACTAAATGTTGTGGTGGACACTTCAAAATGAGAAGGCATAGATTAAGTTGTAGTCTGGTTGAAAGAGAGATGAGACATACACAAAGTCAATGTCAGTTTAAAAAAACTGCACTACAGGGAAAAGTTAATTCTCTGGGACTCAATTTCTCTATTTCTTAAGTAACTGAGATTCCACCCTTGTGTGTATCCCTATGCAGTCCATTATTTTTAAGCAGTGGTGTAACTTTTAGGGAAATTCATCCCCAGATTTCTGTTTGACTTGTAATTTCACACCTGGTAGCTTTTGGAGTCGTTTGTTGTCAGTCTCATATCCTTAAATAAAAAAGGAACTTGATCCTTCTGTATTCAGTCAAAATGCCTATAGATTTTAGCAGGATCCCAATGTCCTGGATATGTTCCCTGTTCAATAATTATACCTTCAGCCCTTCACAGGGAAATTCTCATCTTCTAAAAAGATTTCATAGGAAAGGCAGAAGATTGTTAACATCATGGCAGTCTTAACTTTTCCACCTTGGTTCTTTGAAAAATCACAGGAAAATTAATGTGAAAGGTCTTCTTGTGGGTCAAAATGCCTTACTTTTATAGTTCTCAATACCAATTTTGTCTCTATCAGTAGCACAGCTCTACTTCTTACTATCTTGTCATCGTAGGCAAGCCACATAAACTCTCTGGGCTTCCATTTCCACATCACTATAATGAGAATTTTCTAGATCAGGGGTTTTTTTTTAAACCCTTTTTTGTGCGTCCTGGACCCCTTTGGTAGTCTGGTGAAACTTATGACCTATTCTCAGGATAATGTTTTATAAATGCATGAAATAAAATATGCAAGATTGTAAAGGAAACCAATTATGTTGAAATATAGTTAGAAATTTTTTGAAGTTCATGGAATCTTTACTCTGAATAATCTATAAGGTCTTTTCTAGCTCAGCTCTAAATCCTACAACCTATTCATTTTTATAAAGAAGAGAAATTACTAGATGGAATGAACAAATTAATGAAAAAACATTTATTAAACATCTGCTACTTATATACTATACTATACTAAGCCCTATACTAAGCTCTCAGAATTGAACTAGAAGAGAAATGCAACCGCTACTCTCAAAGACTCATATTCTATAAAAGACTACTCACAGAGGCAATTTCAGCTGCAAGGCAAATGGAAAGATCTTATGATCCTTAGAGTGAAAGGGCAAATTACCTTCTTTAATGCTATTTCCACTAGGGGAAAAAAGTATCTATTTCAAATGTTGAACCATTTGACAGTGCCAAGGACTTTAGTGTTGAGAATATTTGGTGGTAGGGATAGTGAAGAAGGGAGACAGTTGCCAGGTTACAACTCTACAAGAGTAGATTCCCTGGATGATGGCTTAGAGGCTGGGCTGGAAGCAAGCCTGGTGACTGGAGGAAGTCTGCTATTCTCTGGGTCTGGTTTTAGGATTTTGGATTGCCTGTATCAGAGTTTAAGGGGAGGTGATGGTTGAAGTAGTGACAGTGGTTTGACTTACCTGGCACAGGCCACATCCTGTTTTTTCTCCCTCAGGGCACCTTGCTGCTTCAGCTAGACTGGCTTGTCTGCTTTGTAGGTAATAGTTGATTGGTAGTGGGTGAAGAGTTTTTGGATGATGGCTTCTGAGCTGGAAGCCGGGTTTCCAGAGAAGACACCTCTAATCCAGAGTTCTTAGGTTTGCATTAAGGGAGAGTAATGTATCTTCATTGTGAGGTGGGGCATGAGACATGGACAGGAATCACATAAGTGTTGCTCTGTGGTGTATGAATAAGATGGTTAATTCTGCTAATACTGCTTGAGAAAAAGGAAGGAGATGTAGCTATTAAACTTTATAAGAAGTACAACTCCAAAAGGAATGGTTATAACAAGCTTTTGTAAGTCAGAGCTCTAACTCTCTGTCTCTGTCTGTGTGTGTCTCTCTCCTTTTCCTCCCCCTTTCTCTATCTTCTCTCATCTCTCTTCTTGTGTCAGCTTTTCTCTCTCCCCATTTCTAAAATTACTTCCTGAGAGGAAGAAAATAAGTTATCTAATTTTGCCTGATGCTGTGAGCAATATTAGTTAGGAACAAGTGACAGCTTTGGAATATTGGAACCCTTTCCTTCTGGGAAGGTATTGTAAGCATCTTCCAGGGTTAGAATTCCACACTGTTTTGGAGGGGATCTGAATTATTTAGTACCTGAATTGTTGATTGCTTGATTTTCACAACTTAGTGGTGTAGCTCCCAGAGATTCCTAACATCACTGTTCAGTTCTCTTTCATTCTCTCTTTTAATCCCAATGTCTTGCAGCTACTGTTGGGATTGCTAAGATTGGATTTTGTCACCAAGTACCTGCCTGACACCTTAATTAATGCCTACTTGGCAGCCACCGCTTTGCATGTCATGATGTCTCAAATGTGCTTCATTTTTGGGATTATGATTCGTTTCCACTGTGGTGTTATCGCCTTCTTTTATGTGAGTAGTTACAAACCCTGCTCAGAGGTACTTGCTTCTCCAGAGAAGGGTGGAAATAGTTTGGTCACGAGCTCCTCTTTTCTAGAAATAGGTAGAATTGAGAAGACCCAGACTATGCAGACTACATACATTCAGTTTCTTTTTATCTGCTCTCAAAGGGTGTCAGCTTCTAGATTTGGGTTCTTAGTAATTGCAGTAGGACCAACCTGCTATTTGAATTAACTCTCTCCAGTCCAGTCTCTCACTATAGCATGCCTCATGTTGAAACTTAAGATAAGAAAAATGCTCTAAGGTTCTTTTCTCTTGTCCTTACAAAATATAACTTACCTAAATTAACAGTCTGCTCACGATCAAGAAGCATATATTCGAAGCTCTGCGCAAACTTTTAATATTATTGTTTTAAATTTTATTTTAAATTTATATCGTTTCTCTGGAGAATTCAGTTTTAAAAAGGGAAGAACTAAGCCCTTCATGGATTCTAGAAGTGTGTAGGGGCCAGACTAGACAATTATATGAACTAGATCATTGAAGAAATGATAGTATGAACTGATAAATAGAGTCCTGGTACTTTCTTAAATTTGTACCAAAATAAGTAAAGCAAAATCAGTGCAGAGAAGAATCCCTTTTCTTACTTGAGAAGGATAGTTCTGCTTTTGTCTTTAAAAGGTTTTATTGTTTTTTCAGAAGGGCTCATCCTCTCTCACTGCTAGTCCTATATCTCTAGAACTTTGGTAGCTTCAGCTGGTATAGTTAGGACACATACTACAAAGAAGACTATTATGTCCCCATTCAAACTCTCTGATTGTGTTTCTTTTCAGAATCTAGTTAACTACTGTATAGCTCTCCCAAGAGCCAATTCCACCAGCATCCTGTTGTTTCTGATTTGTATGGTGGCTTTGAGAGTCAACAAATGTATCAAGATCTCTTTCAAACAATATCCCATTGAATTTCCCATGGAATTCTTACTGGTAGGTGCTGTCCTGTGTTAGTAACTCAGATGATCGCATAGAGTTGCTTATTACATGATGCTGCTTTAGGCCAGAAGCACTTATTTCCTTTCCAGTGACTCTTGGGAAATAACCTTTCTCACTGGCCTGCTGGTCACTAGAGTTATTGTACTTCTAGTTGCTCTATCAGTGAATAGCTCTGGAGAAATGAGCAAAAAATGTCATTATATAAGAAAAGGGAGTGTGGAGCCAAGATGGCAGAATAAGGCAGGAACTGGCCTGAACTCTCCCTAGTTCACCTCTAACCAACTGTAAAATGATGCCTCAAAATGAATTCTGGAGTGGCAGAATCAACAAAAAGACAGGATGAAACAATTATTCAGACCAAGACAACCTAAAAGGTCAACAGAAGAGATCTATCTCATTTAAGTAAAAGGGGGGGCAGTCCAATGCAGGCAGCATCTAGGCAAGCCAGTGGTAGGCTGTATCCTAGCAAACCAGAGGGAAACCCCACATCCCAGAAAGTCAGCAGTAAGGCCCTGGTGCATCAGGCCAGGACCCAGGTTCCTGGGGCAAGAAGCTTAGGACAGTGCCTCTTCTACCCCAGGAGCAGAGTCCATATTTAAAAGTCACAAAATATGTTGTAAAATGAGGGAAAATAAAAAAGAACCTGACCATAGAAAGTGACTATGGTGACAGGGAAGATCAAAACACAAACTCAGAAGAGGACAACAGTGTTAATGCCTACATGTGAAGTTTCAAAGAAAAATGTGAATTGGTCGCAGGCCCCAAAAGAACTCCTGGAAGAGTTGAAAAAGGATTTTAAAAATCAAATAAGAGAGGTAGAAGAAAAATTGGGAAAATAAATGAGAGTGATGTAAGAGAATCACGAAAAAAGAGTCAATAGCTTGATAAAGGAAGCACAAAAAATGGAAAAAAGATATACAAAAATGTACTGAAGAAAACAACTCTTTAAAAAAATAGAGTTGGCCAAATGGAAAGGGAGATACAAAAGCTCACTGAAGAAAATAATTCCTCAAAAAGTAGAATTGGGCAAGTAGAATCTAATGACTCTATGAGACATCAAGAATCAATCAAAATCAAAAGAATGAAAAAAATAAAAGAATGTGAAATATCTCATTGGCAAAACAACTGACCTGGAAAATAGATCTAAGAGAGATAATTTAAAAATTATTGTAATACCTGAAAGACATGATCACAAAAAGAGCTTAGATATCATATTTGAAGAAATTATCAAGGAAAATTGCCCTGATATCCTAGAACCAAAGGGTAAAATAGAAATTGAAAGAATCTGCCAATTATCTCCTGAAAGATGCCAAAATGAAAAATCCCAGGAATATCAGAGCCAAATCCCAGAACTCCCAGGTCAAGGAGAAAATACTGCAAATAGCCAGAAAGAAACGATTCAAATATTGGGGACCCACAAAAATCAGGATTACATAGGATTTAGTAGCTTTACGTTACAGAGCCAGAAGGGTTGAAATCTAGATTACAACCAGGAATCACCTACTCAGTGAAACTAAGCATAATCCTTCAGGAAAAAAATGGACATTCAGTGAAATAGAGAACTTTCAAGCATTCCTAATTAAAAGTTCAGAGCTGAACAGAAAATATGATTTTCAAATACAAGACTCAAGGGAAGCATAAATAGGTAAACAGGAAAGAGAAAACATAAGGGATTCAATAAGGTTAAATTATTTACATCCCTACATGGGAAGATGATACTTGTAACTCTTAACAACTTTATCACTATTAGGGTAATTAGAAGGAGTATGCATGGACAGAGGGTGTGAATATAAGTTGACTTTGAAGGGATAATAAAAAAAATTAAGAGGTGAGAAAAAGATTCCACTAGGGGAAGAGAGAAGGGATAGGTAAAATGGTATAAATATCTCACATGAAGAGATAAAAAACACCTGTTACAATGGAGAGAAAAATGGGGGCTTGGGGGGAATCGTCTGACCCTTACTCTCATTGGAATTAACTCAAAAAGGGAATAACATACACACTTAGTTGGATATAGGAAGCTATCTTACCCAGTATGGAAATAAGAGAGGAGAAGGATATAAGAAGTGTAGAGGACTGTTAGAAAGGAGGGTAGATTGGGGGAGGCAGTGGTTAGAAGCAAAACACTGTTGTGGAAGGGCAGGGTGAAAGAGATAAAGAGAGAGATGGAAGGGCAGGGTGAAAGGAGAGAGAGACAGAGAAAGAGATAGAGACATACACAGAGAGACAGAGAGAGAGAGAGAGAGAGAAGGAGGAAAAGGAGGAGGATAAACAGGAAAAATAGGATAGAATAGTATCTAGTAATAACTGTGAATGTGAATGCGACAAACTCCCCCATAAAACAGAAACAGATAGCAAAGCGGATTAAAAACAAGAATCCTACAATATATTGTTTACATGAAACACAATTGAAGTAGAGAGTCACACACATAGTAAGAATAAGGGACTGGAGCAGAATCTATTATGCTTCAGCTGAAGTAAAAAAAAAAAAGCAGGCGTAGCAATCATGATCTCAAACAAAGCAAAAGCAAAAATAGATCTAATTAAAAGAGATAAGGAATGAAACTACATCTTACTAAAAAGTACCATTGACATTAAAGTAATATCAATATTAAACATATATGCACCAAATGGTACCCATCCGAATTGTTAAAAAAAGAAGTTGAGTTAAATGAAGAAATAGTAAAACTATACTAGTGGGAAACCTCAACTTTCCCCTCTCAGAACTAGATAAATCTAACCAAAAACTAAGCAAAAAAGAAGTTAAGGAGGTGTATAAAATTTTAGAAAGGTTAAATATGATAGACCTCCAGAGAAAATGGCATGGGAATAGAAAGGAATATACCTTTTTCTCAGCAGTCCATTGCATCTACATAAAAATTGACTGTGTATAGGGCATAAAAACCTCACAATCAAATGCAGAAATATTAAATTCATCTTTTTCAGATCATAATGCAATAATGCATTAAAATCATATTGCAATAAAAATTATGTTCAATAAAGGGCAGTGGAAAATAGATAAAAATTCATTGGAAACTAAATAATCTCATCCTAGAGAATAAGTGGGTCAAAGAACAAATCATAGAAACAACCAATAATTTCATTAAACAAAATGACAACAATGAGACAGCATATGAAAATGTATGGAATACAGCAATGAAGTAGTTAGGGAAAATGTTCTATCTCTAACTGCTTACATCAATAAAACAGAGAAAGAACAAATCAATGAATTCAGCATGCAACTAGAAAAACTAGCAAAAAAAAATGTTAAAATCCCCAATTAAACATCAAGTTAGAAATCCTGAAAATCAAAGGTGAGATTAATAAAATTGGAAGTAAAATATCATTGAACTAATAAATAAAACTAGAGGGTTTGGTGAAAAAAAAACAGCAAAATAGATAAACCGTTGGTTAATTTGATTTTAAAAAAGAAGAAAACCAAATTACCAGTATCAAAAATGAAAATGGTGAATTCACCACCAATGAAAAGGAAATTAATTATCAGAAGCTATTTTGCCCAATTATATGCCAATAAACCTGACAACCTAAATGAAATAGATGAATATTTTAAGTAATACAAATTGCCCAGAATAAAAGAAGAAGAAATAGAATACTTGAAAAACTCACTCTTAAAAAAGGAAATTGAACAAGCCATCAATGGACTCCCTAAGAAAAAATCCCCAGGCCCAAATGGATTTACAAGTGAATTCTACCAAACATTTAAAGAACAATTAATTCCAATACTATATATAGTATAGTTTTGGGGAAAATAGGTAGATGAAGAAAGAGTCTTACCAAATTCCTTTAACACAAAAAATATGGTGCTGATACCTAAATCAGGAAGAGCAAAAACAGAGAAAGAAAACTATAGAACAATTCTCCTAATAATATTGATGCAAATATTTTAAATAAAATACTAGCAAGGAGATTACAGTAATATACACAAGGATCATACACTATGACAAGATGTGATTTATCCCAGGAATGCAGGGCTGGTTCAATATTAAGAAAACTATCATCATAACTTACCATATCAATAACAAAACCAACAGAAATCATATGATTATTTCCATAGATGTAGAAAAGGCTTTTTGCAAAATACAGCACCCATTCCTATTAAAAACTCTAGAGAGCATAGGAATAAATGGAGCTTTCCCTAAAATGATAAGTAGTAGCTTTCACAAACCATTAGCGGGGGACAGAGCCAAGATGGCGGAGTAAAAGTAGTGACTTGTTGAGCTCTCTCCCAAACCCCTCCAAATACCTATAAAAAATGGCTCTAAACAAATGCTAAAGCAGGAGAACCCACAAAAAGACGAAGTGAAACAAATTTCCAGCCCAAGAGAGCCTGGATGGTTGATCAGAAAAGTATATTGTACGGAGCTGGGAGAGGAGTGCAGTTGGGCGTGGGCATGCAGGCCACGGTGAACCTGGAGCAGGCCTCAGAGAACTGAATCACAGGCAGCTGTGACAGTTTCCAGACTTCTCAACCCACGAATGCCAAAGACAACTTAGGTCAGTGGGAAAAGTCTGTTTCTACAGTGCTGAGAGAGAAGCACAGTGGGGTTCCATCTCTGGGGCTGCCGCTGCCTCCTGAGCTTCTGACCCACAGACTGCGGGGGAATTGAGTGGCTGATCAGAGGGGGATTGCAGGGATCTCTCAGCTGGTGCAGGATTCTCTTGCTTTGCCTGTGCTTGGATCTGGGTCACAATTCTGGGTGGCAGTCCTGGGGAGAGGAAGAGTGCTGGCGTGGTGGAGTTTGTAGTGACTATGGAGAGGAAGCCCTTCTCACAGTTCCAAGACAGAAGAGAGTGCTCACAGACCAGAGCAGAGGCCAGAAAGGAGTAAACACCTCGCCCTTGATCATAGCACCTTGGAAGAACTGAAAATTTTCAGGTCCCTAGAAGTATCTCTGAAAACAGCTGTACAAACCCCCGAAGCTTGGGACAGTACATTCTCCACACTGGAAACAGACTCCTACCTTAACGAAGAG